GTGTCTGGTCAGGTTGTCGTTAATTGGACTTACATGGGCGAGAGCTAAGCTATGACCGGGCGGCCTTCGCTTTATTCGGAAGAGCTGGCCGCTCACATCTGCTCAGAGATAGCAGAGGGGCGGTCATTGCGCTCAATCTGTCGTGATGACGGAATGCCTCACATGGCGAGCGTGTTTCGCTGGTTGAAGTCTGAAGAGGGTTTTAGCGAGCAATACGCGCACGCGAGAGAGGCCCAGGCTGACGCTTTGGCGGATGAGATTGTTGATATCGCCGACACTGAAGAGGACGCGGCGAAGGCTCGTGTTCGCGTTGACGCGCGCAAGTGGGTGGCTGGCAAGCTCAAACCCAAGCGCTATGGCGACAAGGTGACGAACGAGCACACGGGCGCTGAGGGCGGCGCTATCTCCATTCAGGTGGTCACAGGCGTTGACCGCGATTGATCTGGGTTATCGCCCGCGCGACTGGCAGAAAGAGCTTCACAGGGACAGTACGCGCTTCAAAGTGGTTGTCATCCACCGCCGGGGCGGCAAGACGGTCGGCGCGGTCATGGATATGCTTGACCATGCGATACGAGCCACGAGTGAACGCCCGCGTTATGCGTACATCGCGCCTTACTACAAGCAGGCCAAGGCGGTGGCTTGGGATTATCTGAAGGCGTTCGCGCTGAGGATCCCCGGCACGCAGGCCAATGAAAGCGAATTGCGGGTTGATTTGCCCAATGGGGCGCGCATCCAGCTTTACGGGGCTGACAACTACGACGCCTTGCGGGGGATTTACCTGGACGGCGTTGTGCTGGACGAGTTCGGCGATATGGACCCGCGCGCTTGGGCTGAGGTTATCCGGCCTGCTTTGTCGGACCGGCAGGGTTGGGCGACGTTCATCGGGACACCCAAGGGGCAGAACACATTCTACGAGCTGTACCAGCACGCCAAGGAGGCGGATGGTTGGTCGGCCCGGATGCTCAAGGCCAGTGAGAGTGGTCTGGTTGCTGAGGATGAGTTGCGCGACGCCCGCGCGGTCATGACTGAAGACCAGTACGCGCAAGAGTTTGAGTGCAGCTTTGAGGCGGCGATACCGGGCGCTTACTACGCCAAGCTGATTGCCGAGGCTGAAGAGGACAAGCGCATCTCCAATGTGCCGTTTGACCCTGCTGTTCCGGTCTACACGGCTTGGGATTTGGGTATTGGAGATTCAACGGCGATTTGGTTCGCCCAGGTGCTGGGCCGTGAGGTCCGTCTGATTGACTATTACGAGGCCTCTGGCGTGGGGCTGGACCATTACGTGGCTCAGTTGCGAGAAGGTCGGCGCGCCAGATACGCCTATGCCGAACATTGGCTGCCGCATGACGCAGACCATAAAGAGCTGAGCACGGGACGCTCGCGCATCGAGACGTTGCGCAGCCTTGGGCTTGAAGCGCGCGTGTTGCCTGTTGCGCGAGTTGAAGACGGCATTAACGCGGTAAGGATGCTGCTTCCCCGCGTCTGGATCGACAAAGAGCGATGCGCCGAGGGAATCAAAGCCCTCAAACACTACCGGAGCGAGTGGGACGAGAAGCGCAAGGTGCTTCGCCCGCGTCCATTGCATGACTGGTCAAGCCACGGGGCGGACGCGATGCGGTATTTCGCGCAAGCCTACCGGGACACGTGGGGCAACCCCCGCAAGACATACGCTGAAGACCTCGCCTTGCCTGACATAGGAGCCGTTTGATGGAAGACCTGGACCCGACATTCTTCCAGCGGCTGTGCTCTGACGAGCGCCGGGCCTCGGTCGGCTATGAGCACGACGAGGAACTCTACGCCCAACGCGAGCAGGCGCTGAACTACTACAAGGGCGAAATGCCTGACGTGAAGGCGCTGCCCAATCGCTCCAAGGCGACAAGCTCTGATGTGTCCGATGCTGTCGAGACGGTCATACCGGACCTGTTGGAAAT